AAAGGAAAGGAAAGGAAAGGAAAGGAAAGGAAAGGAAAGGAAAGGAAAGGAAAGGAAAGGAAAGGTATTATTACATATTTTTTGAAAATCTTCCACATCCCCATACTTCTCATTTAGATGCTTTCTAAGAACAACGTGATTATTGTGAAAGGGTAACAAAACATACAACCATGTTTATTCCTTTCACCAAATCCTTGCTTTTTAATGTCTTAGGTTTCAATGTATATAATCCTACATGAATATAATGCACTGAAAGAGATACATTTAGCAGCAATTCAAAATACAGTACCTATTTTTGGAGAGCAAAGAGTTCCCTGCAGTCCCTGTTATCTTTTATGAATTTGGTCACTGCAGACTATATTCAGATATAATACTGAATGATCGGCCCGATGGAAAAGGGATGCCAAGGAATCACACAAAAATGGGTAAGCTGAAGGTTTGCTTTTTGACTTTTAATTAGCTCTGCAATGTTAGACTTCTAAGAATTCTGAATGTAAATTGCCTAGCAACTACAGCAGGCCAAAGAAAGTTGTGCCTGTGTGTGTGAGTATGCGTATGTGAGTGTGCGTATAAAGGAAAAGATTTAGCATGTTCTAAATCTTTTGGGGCATCACTTTTGGTGAACTTGATTGATTGGAATCTTTTTTGTCTTCTTGCTCTTTTGCAGTATTGCATGGTAGATTACAATCCCAAGAATTGTCTCTTCTATCAGAGGTTCCTTAAGAATCAGTTGTGGGCCTTATATTTTTTTATCTTTTATGCCCTTCTCTTGGGTTTCTTGAATTATGACCAGGGCTTCCAATATCATTATTAAGCTAATGATACTTAAGTCTATCAGTGTTTTGTGGCCTTTGATAACAATCCATAGTTAATTGTGATGGAATACCTTTATTAACATTACCTTCTGGATACAGTTCAAGATGTTGGTTATCACCTTGTGGAATCAAAACACAGGACACAAATGCAAAATAATCAAGGCTTCACTGCAGTGTTTATCAGACAGTACATACTGAAGGGGGACCCCACCAAGGGTTAGTGGGAGACACTCCCCTGCAGGCAAAACGGATCCCCTGTAATTTATACAATTCTACAAGAAGGGGACCCCTTCATGGACCACTGCTGTGTCATGGTGAAGGGGCTTGCATAACTCAATGAAGCCATGAGCTATGCCGGGCAGGGCCAACCAAGATGGACAGGTCATGGTGGAGAGTTCTGACAAAACATGATCCACTGGAGAAGGAAATGGCAACCCACTCCAGTATCCTTGCCAAGAAAGCCCCATGGACA